TGGTAAAGTTGTGTATGAGGGTCCTATATCGACGCTAAATTCTTACTATATTGAAGAACATTTTGCTAAGTGATTATAACAAAGTTATTAATTTTACTCTTCTTTATTAATAAACTTGTTTTTTTACTCAAAAAATCCTAGTGCCATTACTTTACTATCTTATTGAGATTAATTTTTCACATCTTTGTTAAAGCCCCATTTTATGGGCTTCTTATCTATTAGCTCTATTAGCTATATATTCATTCTGCTGACTATACTGCCTCTTTTAATTCCTTCAGAGTCTACCTGAAAACGGCGCTGTTCTTATTGGCCAGGCCTCGGATACTGAATGTATTAACCCGACTTTCCAAACTTCTCAGGCTTTAGTGGCGACATGCTGCAGCCACCGTTCTTCTTTACAGTCAGCAGGTGCCAGCGCCTTGACTACCAACTCGTTTTCTATGTCTTCTGGCGCTAAAGTTACTCGAGCATCTGATACTGAAGATATCTTTTCTACATATAAAACTCTCGCTTCGAATTCGACCCTTAATCCAAATCCAGCTTCACCTCTGCCCTGCCGCATTACCTCTCAAATTTCCTCTTCTGATGCTACCCTAGCTGTGGCTGCTAGTACTGTAGGAGCTCAATTGTCTCGCTTTATGCTGGTTGAATATGCTAACTCGGGTCTGTGCCAGCTGCGTACTCCTTTTGGCGAAGACCGGCCTCACACTATGGTTAGCTCTCCTACATCTACAGATTCTAGGCCAGAAACTCCCGAAGGCCTGGTGAGTTAGGTGCAAGTCACTATACTTTTACGGTTTGGTTTTTATTTTTGTTTTATTTCGATTAAGGATTGCTTGCAGTCTCAAGATTTTACCTTTATGAGTTAATATATTTATGCCTTAATCACATTTTTAGTATATATTTGGCTTATTAATTCAGTCAGTCATTATAATACTTCCTGATTTTTACTAGTTTTTTATTATACACTAATAAGATGTTGGAAATATTTCATGTATTATCTCGGCTGGCATTTGATTAATTTTCATTACGTACTCTGTAAGTGGTTCATTTTGTTAGCCTATTGAACTTGAAGACAATTTTGGTTACTTGGGGAGCCATTATTCTATAACTCTAGGATGCATCTTTTTTCAATTTTGCTTTTATCTCTTATCATTCTTACCATCCTTGGTAGCAATTCTAAAGGATTTTCATAAGAATTATTCTATTCGGTCGATTTTCATCTTTAATTAATTAAATTTATCTCGATAATTTTTCATCCTCTAATGTAAAGGATATATGGCGTTCGAGCTATTTCATCACTCCACAGATATGCGCCTCTCCCTTGTCCTTAGATGATGGACATTTTCCTAATGCAATCCTTGCCTCCAATAATCTGTCTATATCTGAGCCAAACTCCTCGGCTCCAGTCAATACGTCTTCTCCAGATTCTCATATACTTTTGGAGACAAATCCAACTATTCCTGGGAGACAACGAGAATCCTCTTCCTCCAATGCTGTCCTCGTCCTCATGGACAGAATTCCTTCTTCTTCATACTTAATTTCAGGGTCTCAGGCATCCTCCTTACCCAATGGATGTCTAGTCAATTCTACTTTTGATACACAACCTCGACCTGATAATTCCAGGGGTACCTCTTCACAATTATCAATTGTCGCTGATTCCATC